AGGAGCTGGGGAAGCACCCACACTGAGCCCAATTTTACCCATCTGACCTTTGAGTTACTTAGGTGTGCTACTTAGTTTCCAAACACAGCTTTTTCTCCCCAGATTTCACCTTGATTCCACTTGTTCAGGGAACACTCTACAGGACTCCTCCCCTGACATCCGCAGTCTGGATTGATGGTCTGGCGAAGGCTGACTTCAGTGCTGCCCACTGGAGAGGAGGGCCGCGTGGGCACACCTGAGCTCGCACCTGCACTCGCACCTGCGCTCCCTCACCCACCTATCTGACACCTTTGCAGATTTTCACATGCAGTTTCTAGACGTTCGTCAGATATTGAAACTGAAGTCCTGGCAGTGAAAGCTTTTAAAACAATTTACCTCTCTTCGTATACATTTTAAGGGTTTTCCGCTATTTTTTTTACATTTCAATGAGTCGATTTTATAAAGACCCCTTGGATTCATCCACACTTCTCTTCTGTTCGTCCAGCCATTCCTTCTTGTTCCAAGAATCCGTTCTGGGCACATATTCCTGCTTCAAAGAGAATTCCCCAGAAGGTCCTTTATAGGCAGTATCTTCGGCAAGGGACACCTCAATTTCTTTTGTTCTTTCTTTTTAGAACTCAAGCACTTAACCACCGAGTCACATCCCAAATCCTTTTTGTTATTATTACTTTGGGACAGGGTCTTACTAAGTTGTTTAGGACCTTGCAAAGTTGCTGAGGTTGGCCTTGAACTTGTGATCCTCCTGCCTCAGCTTCCTGAGTCACTGGGATGATAGATGTGTGTCATCACATGAGGCTCAATTTTTTATTTTTAAAAAAAGTCATCGACTTCATTTTTTGTAACTTTGAGATATAATTTCATATACCAAAAGCATTCACCTTGTAAAAGTGAACAGGGTCATTCACAGGGTCGTGTGAACATCACTGCTATCTACTTCCAGGATGTTCTCACCACCCAAAGATGACAGCCGACACCCCCCTAGGCCCCGCAGCACTAGTCTGCTGCCTGGCGTTCCATGCAAGTGCAGTCACAGGGTGGCCTTCTGCACCCTCTTCTCGGCCCCGTGCGGCCCTCTGCGACTTCACCCCAGCTCCGTGTGTGTCAGTGCTGCCTCCTTCACTGTCAGACAACACTCCGCATTGTTTCTCCAGCACCTGCCGGACGCCTGGGCCCTACCCACCTCTTGGCCGTCATGCCTAACGCTGCTGTGCGCACTCATACAGGTGTGTGGGACAGGCATTTCAGTCCCCTGTGTTCTCGTCAGCCTTTCCCTGCTGTGGCCAAAAGACATGACAAGAACAACTCAGAGGAGGAGAAGCTTGTTTGGGCTCATGGTTTCAGAGGAGCCCACCATGGTCGGCCGCCCTGTTGCTCTGGGCCCGAGGTGAGGCCAGACATCACAGTGGAAGAAACCCCAGTCCACAGCAGCACGAGGCAGAGCTCTCACCCTCCAGGAGCAAAAGATAAACCCCAAAGGCACCCCCCCCACCCCCCGGCCTGCCTACAGTTACCACCCAGTTCATCCATTCAAGTGGATTAATTCACTGACCGGGGCACAGCTCTGCTAATCCAATCATTTCACCTCGAATATTCTTTCTTTGTCTTACACATGAGCATTTGGGGGATCACCCGTTATGTAAACCATAATATTCCACCACGGTCCTCAAAAGCTCATGCCCATCACACAATGCAAAATACAATTATTCCACTTCCAAGACCCCACAGTCTGACAGTTCCAGCATTGCCAAAATCTATCTCCAAAATCTCATGAGACTCAAGGCCAACTCATTGCCGCAGTCTGGCTGGGCACAATCAGGAGCCACTTGTCAAAAGAAACTAACTTTATTTTTAGAACCACACACGCCAAACAAAACAGCCTCTCAGGAAAAACCCTCAGAGCCTCAACTGCCACCACCGGCTTTCCACAAGCCTCTCTCTCCCACACAAGCTTCTCCCCACCTCCCACAATCCTCCTGCTCTTGAGGCCGATTGGCTGGGTCACATGGGCGGAGCCAAAAAAGTCCCCCAATGAGCAGCTCCGTGGTCTGAAAGGGCAGGGAAACAGTCCAATGAGCATCACTGCAGAGGAGCCAATCAGCTAGATGTTGCTGGGGCCGCTGTGAGCCAATCATCAGCCGGCAGCTGGAAGTTTGCTGGCAGCTGGAAGTTTGCTGGGGCCCCTTCGGCTGTGGCTCTCAACAACTCATGGATGTTCTCCTCTGTTAAAATCAAAACCAGCTACAGGTATCCATATAATGGCACAGACGAAACATTTCTATTCCACAAGGGAGAAGGAGGGGCCCAGAGAAAAGGGGTAAGACCAAAGCAAGACTGAAATCCAGCTGGGCCAACAAATCCCGTAGCTCCACGTCCAACACCTGGAGATCATGGCATCAGGAGGATCTCTCCACAGGGCTTGTGTAGCTCTATCCCGTGATCTTGCTGGTTGCAGCCCACATGACCTCTCCTGTGGCCAATCTGTCTCATTCCTGCAGCTTTCCACAGCAGGGGTCCCTCATTACTGGCATCTCTTAGTCTCAGGGGTCTCCACAGCAGCTTCAAGTTCCTTCTCCCATCTTCAGGCACTGCCCTCTCAGGGGCTGCCTGCAGGGACTCCAACACTGCTAGCTTGTCCCTGGCCTCTTTGGTCTTCCTGTTGAAATCTCAGTGGAAGTCCCATACCCGCTAAATCCAGCATTCTGCAATTCTGCAGAACCAGCACCATATGGCTGCCACCGAGGTCTCCCACCATCTCAAGCAGTAGCCAAGCCTCCTGGGACATGGCCACAGCAGCATGAGTGCCTGGACAGCTGAGTGTGGTGAAACAGCTTCCTAGGCCACTGTGTAGGTATGCTGCCCCAGTGGGTTCTTCTCAAAACAATTTGTACACCTGAGCCTGAGATGGATGGGGTCTTGCCAGTTTGTGAGATGCCTCAAGTCACCTTTCCTATGATGTCTGTGTGAAGTACTTAGCATCCCTTTAGTGGTTGTAATCTCTTCAACAACAACACCTTCTTTGGCCCTCGTTTTACACACATATTTATGGCCAAACTGCAAGTTTCAACTCTTTCTGCTCCCAATTATCACAGTACACTTGCTAAAAGCCACCAGCAATACCCATGCCACCCTCTGAATGCTGTGCTGCCTTGAAATTTCTCCTACCAAATAATTAGTCCATTAACTTTGAATTCAGTTTCACATCAAGTCTCAGGACATGAGCAAAACGTTGACAACTTTTTGGCAGAATGTAACATGAATGGCATCCAGTCCAGTTTCCCAGAGTTGTCTTTCTCCTCTGAGACTTCATGAGCTCAGTCTTCACTGCCCACAGTCTTGCGGGCATTCTGGTCTCCTGAGCAACCTCCAGAGTCACCCACTAAGCTCTAAGGCCTCTCCAGCCTGCACCTCCGGACTTTTCCACGTTTCTTCCACAAACCAGTTCAAAATGGTCAGGTTAGTCATGGCAATAAACCCATTTCTCGGTTATCAATTTCTGTTTTAGTCTGCTTTTCATTGCTGTGACCAAAAGACGTGACAAGAACAACTTAGAAAAGGAGAAGTTTATTTTGGTTCATGGTTTTAGACATTCAGTCCATGACTGGCTGGCTCCATGACTCTGGGCCAGAGGTGAGACAGAACTTTCCTGGTGGAAGAGCGTGGCAGAGGAAACTTACCAGTTCACGACAGCCAGGAGGAGAGAGAGGGCAGAGGCAAGCAGGTGCACGTGCCTCACTCACCAGGGACAGAGGTGAACCCCAAAGACATGGCCCCAGTGACCAACTTCCTCCCATCACACCCTTCCTGCCTCCAGTTACCACCCAGTTAATTCACTCAGGTGGATTAACCCAGTGACGATGAGCTTACGGCTCCAAAAACGGATCATTTCGCCTGTGAACCTTCTTACATCAGCTCACCCATGAGCTTTTGGGGAATACTACTTATCCAAATCATATCACCTCAGGGGTCTCCACAGCACCTCAGGAGGTCACCTTGAAGGAACTGCTGGGTCACTCGTAGCATTTCTGAACAATAGTTTGCTAAAGACCCAGCTCTGTGCTGAGAGCTGTTTCTCAGACCCTGGCTTCCTCTCATTCACGGATTGCTGCCCTCTACTCTCTGGTCTGCTCTCTCTCTGGTCTTCAGTGTCCTCTCAGCAGGGGTTCATTCTGGTTCATACAACCTGGTATATTTTCTGGATTTCAATACCATCTTCCTTCTGTTCTTCATTCTCCCTGGGATCCACCTAGACTGCATGGATTCTCTCCCCTGAAGACTCTGCCTTGGATTCTTCTCCATCCCAAATCCTGGAGCATGGCCTCCCTGAGGTCAGAGCTGGGAACCTCGATTTCTCTCCTCCCAGGCCCAGCTCCCACAGGTAGACACGGACTATACTAAGTTGCCCTGGCCTTCGCCCCTAGGTCAGGTGCCCTGGTGGGCAGGACCCTGCCCAGGAGCCCTGAGAGGGTGGTGTGGGCAGAGTTGCAATAGTTTTAGAAGGCAACCTTGAACTCTTCCCAGAAGGAGGACTGGGCACCATGTTCTGAGTCTGATTTCATAAACCCCACGCACACGACTGTTGAACAGTGTGGGCAGAAGCAGGCCAGGTTCTGCTGGTCACCTATAATTCAAATCACCCCTTGCATTTCTATTTGAAACTATTTTTTTCTGCCTTTCAAAAACCGCAGATGTTGAGGCAAGCCCTGTGGGAAAGTCTTTCTCCAAGGACACCTGGGCCACACTTCCCGAGCTGGTGCCTTCCTGAAAGAACAAGACGTCTGGGCTGAGGTACAATTCAGTTGCTTCTGAGGCTCCCCCATTAACTGAAGTAGCCTCCCAACTGTTCCCAGGAATGCCCCAAATTCCTGCCACCACTGTGGGAGCCTGGGCAGTGACTGCCAGAGTAGTGTGGGCCTGGGGACAGCATCTGACGAGGACCCCACCCCAGAAATGGGCACCCTCAGGTGAACCATCTCTTAAGGTGAAATAGCATTGAAGCTGCCTTGGTCATAAATACAATTTATTTCATTAAAAATGCATAATTACAGTGTGTGGGAGAGCACCCCCCTAGAAAAGTAGGTAAGCAATCTTTCCATCAAAACCGCTAGCCGTCTCTTGCAAACGTGTCTCCATGGCGCTGAAAAGAGCACACAGCAAAAGCCTTCTGTTACGCCACTGTTTTTCTTTTTTTTTTTCCAATTTTCTTTTTTGTTATAAACACCATAGCAAATTAAAAAAAGCTGTTTAAACAAAACATCGTCATTCTTGACTTTCCAAGTGTGCTCAACGTGTTCGGTGCTGTGCTCCCCTTCCGGACCCAGCAGCATGACTCAAACCAGGGTCCTCTTGGCAGGGACAGCCAGGGCACCCTGTGCAGGAGGAGGCTTTTGGATGCGCCACAGAGAATCCGCACAGTCGCTTCCAGGTCAGAGTGAGAACAGGGCACGTGGAGACCAAGGCTGTCGGCTGAGCCAGGCCAGTGCAGTCCTGCTGTGATGGTCCCTCCTGCCTCACTGTATCTGGATGGCTCCATGTTCAAGCTGCATTTCAGGCTGCAGGGTGGGCTGCAGGGTCTCGGCCGTCTGCAAGAAGAACAAAGGAGGACTTTCCTAGAAAAATGTCCACCAGCACAGGTTCCAGCAGCTCCCTTGTCAAAAAGCAGCTGAGGACCTTCACACACAGCGTGGAGCACACTCAGGCAGAGCTCAAAGAGCTCCAGCATCGCCCTCATCCCAACTTGAGTGAACACCCAGGACACATCAGCACTTGGCAGCAACAGTGACAGACCCGGCCCATCCCCCCTCTCCTGCACACGCCCTCGGGACACGGTGGCTACAGCCGATTCCCCATCCGCTTGTCCTGGGTGTACTGGGGAATAAATAGGATTAATTAACGTACGTACTTAGCCAGACACATTTACCTAGAGCCTCAGGTAGGACAAACTGCCCTCCAACATTTCAGAAAAGCACTTCAGACAAAGCTACATCAAGGACCTGTGCACATGTCACAGCTTTGTCTTAAGATAAGGAAGATTCACCCTATCAGTGACTTAAGTCTTCCCTATCAGTGCCCAGAGCACACTCTAGTGGAGTAAACCACCAGGCTTCTGTGTGCACCCAATGGTGCAGCTGAAGGAGACAGGACAAGCCAAAGCACCACCAGAAGGCCAGAGTCCCCAGGGGAGCTGGCACATGACAACTCCTACCACAGTCTAAGGCTGCACTTTCCAAAGACTTGTGACACTCAACATGCTGTTCCCTTAAAAGAGGGAGGGACTTCTACTTTAGGAGGAAGGACCCAGCACAGCTATCACCCATTCTGCAGAAGCCCTACGTGGCTGAGCAGGAATCACGAAAGGAACAAGCCTGTGTCAGAGGCCAGGCGATGCCATCACAAGCTATGGCCCACAGTTTCTGCAGAACTTTAGGGTGCTGATGAGGCAGGGGACAGGCCCTTGCCTGGGACTGAAAATCTTTCCATTGGGAAGCCACCTGCCCCAAAGCCCACAGGCAGAGAGACTGCAGGCAGAGGTAGCTGAGCTACCCGAGGAAGCACTGAAAGAATGTGGATGGACTGTAGCAGCTGCAGGATACCAAGGGAACCCAGCACGCCAGAACTGAGGGGCCTCCCCACCAGGTGGGCCACAGAGAGCTGCTACGGGTTCTCCTCCCGACACTCCCTCCCAGGGGGGTGCTTGGTCACACCTTACATTCCTTCTCGGTTTATCTCCCGTGGGCTCAGCCATGGGGTAAAAGCTGACCACCCTGCCCGGCATCTGGCTGTGCTCCCATGGCGCGGCTATGAGGCCTAGTGGCAAGCAACCGCTTCACTGGAACCCATGTTCTCAGACTCAGCCCACTGCAGTCTTGCTGTGAACTGGGAGACTCATGAGACCGAGTGCTGAGGTCACTAGGGTAGATATGGGGCCACCCCAGGCCTTCTGCGTTCCTATCACCAGCCAGAGGCAAGCTCTCTGTCCACCTGCCCCTGAGAAACAGGCTGGGACTGGCTGGGCTCACAAGCACTCACAGCCCAAGGACCGCAGGAGGATTGACCTGGCGGTCTGCCCCACAGAGGTGTGACCCTTGACAGGAGGGGCAGTGGGCTCTCAGGAGAATGGGGACCTGGGTCTTGGGCCCCAGAAGTGAACTCTGAGGAGGAGAAAATAGGGCAGAACTTCATTTTTGCTTCTGAATTCAGATAAGCCTTTCCTCATCTCAAGTATCACTTTAAATCTGGGTCTGGGCCACGTCTAACCTCTCACCTCCAGGTTTGCAAGCACTTATAAAAACAGAATCCCTAAGGTGTCTTCGTCTGAGCTGTGAGCCTTTCAGTCGTAATCTACCTCCCTCCAGGAAAAAGTCAGACAGAAAGCCTCTAAGCCACGTGAGCTCTGTGGAAGCCGGCAGCCGGGCCATCCATAGGAGGGCATCCTTTCCAGAGGGACGCCAGACTTACCTGTGCTGTGGCCGTGTGGTCACTCACTGGTGCCAGCTGGACGTACTGCACCTGGATATCACTACCCTGGAGAGGGGACCCGTCCACTCCGGCTGCGGCAGGGTCTGAGGAGGCCACGGCAATCAGCTGAGCACCCTGAAGCACCTGGAGGGACAAAGTTGGATAGAGCCAGGCTCATTAGTACAGCATGATCATCAGAGCTGCAGACGACACCTTCTTCCAGACCAGGACAAAGGTGGCCCCAGGCCCACACAGTGTCCCATCCTGGCTCATGGTCCAGGTTTAAGCAGCATTTGGCCAGGTGGGCAGAGCAGCACTGAGCGTGCCCAGGTGCAGCCAAGCCCACCTGACCTGCTCATGCCCGCCTCCCGCAGACGGCCCCCTAGGCAGGACTTTAAAGTCTCGCGTAAACTAAGGCTTCCAGACAGTCAGCCAAGGGACCTGCTGAGGGTGTTCCTGGGAATGTAGGCACTGATCAGGAGCCCACGTCACGCAGGACCTGACAGGCAAGTGCAGGCAACACAGCAGAAAGAAGTGTGAGCTTAAAACTCAGATCCTCGAGATCACGTGCAGCAAAGCATATGCCAGCAAGAGCTCTGGCTGCAAAGGAGAAAAGCAGAGAGGAGCCTCTGGGGAAGGTGGTTGAGACCAGAGGCCCAGGGGTAGCCAGCAACAGCACAGACCCTTCTGCCCCCATCAGTTGCTTCCCTCTGCCCTCCTGACCCTGCACAACCAAAGCACATACCTGGGATGTGCCCAGGAGGCAACAGGGTGATCCCATCTCATCAGCACCCCGCACTGGGGTCCACTTTCTGAGGGGACCACCTGGTGCTCAGTCAGGATGGCCCAGAGCAGGCAGGATGGGCTTCTGTCTCCAATGGCACTGGACATTCACAAGCCCAAGTTGCCAGGAGCCACGGAGTCTTTACATAGGCCCCACCCTGAGAGAGCCGAGATTCACCCTCAACTCCTACACACAATCTCAGCTTGCGCACCTGTGCAGGAGACCCCTCACACAGAGCCTGTCCCCAGGAGGCAGCAGACGAACACAGCCCAAGAACCCAGGAGCAGCTGCACCTTCAGGCACACCCCAGTGTGCTCCTGAACCATGCTGCTGGAGGGCAGACCCACACCAGCACACGCTTGCTCCTCAGTCCAGGCCAGGGCTGGCAGAGCAGGGCCACACACCAGGCCCACCACGCCCACCACTTGATTCTGCACCACAGTGGTCTGGCTTCACATGGTTCTGAAAAGCCTTTGTAAATGGAGAATCAGAAGAAGGCCCTGAGACATGCCTGCCATAGTTTGTTGTGGCTTGTCTCCTCCAAAACACCCCTGCAACCTGCTGCCCTTTCAAGAAGTGGCCCACCATTCTGCTTCTGGCCCAGTGCTATTCATAGAGGGAGGCCCAGGAGACAAACCAGCCTCATGCCCAGCCCCCAGGGCCACTGCTCCAAACCCAGCCCCTCACTGCTATCTGAGGCTCCAGCAAATGAGGGGGTGTGGGCTTCTCCTCAGCCTCATGTCCTGCCAGCCATTCACTGGCCACAGCCATTACTGAAAAGCAAAGGCTTGGGGACAAGTGGCACAGGGCTGCAGGACCAGAGGGACAGTCTGGCAACACTCTGCCTCCCTCCCTCTCCATGAGCTGTGTGTCCAGCTCTAACTACACAGGAAAATGGCTCACCTACACGACTAGACCTCAAGCAAAAGCACTCAACAAAAATGTGCCTGGTACCTTCACCCAGAATGCACCTGCTGCCACAGTGTGCCCAACAGCAGCCTGGCACTGCCCGCCATCTGTCCCCCAAAGGAGCAGTAGGCAGAGCCACGGTGCACACTCGGTGGGTAACAAACAGGCAAGCGCCTTAGATAGGGCTCGGCCCCTCCTGGGAGGAAAGACAGCAAACACAACGACCCAGTGTTTTCACAGAATCCATCAACAAAAACATCTAGATCCCTTCTTCCGGTTTGTATTACTGGGTAGAGTTTTATTATTTCTGCCTCAGAGCTATGTTTTTCCAGGCAATGTGGTTCTGCTTTACCTAAGCAGCTCAGTTTAAAATAAAACTGAGGATTTCAGGAAAAAGCAGACAGAGCTCTTATTTTGGGGGTGGGGCTCTGGTGTCAGGGAGACTAGCCCTAGTTGCTGGGACTCTTCTGTTCCTGCTGGTGTGGTGGCGCCCCTCTACAGGGTGCCTGGGCCCAGAGCCACAGAGGCTGCTCCATCTGCAGACACACAGCTGAGGATCGAGGGACGAGACAGTGCCGGAATGGCTGCCCATTGTAACCACAACCTCGGAGGTTAGGGACATTCCCTAGATATTTATTTCCCATTAGCAGATGGATTGGACAGTTCTGCTTCACAATTTCATCTTGAATTCTTAAAGTTCTCTGTCTTGGCTAAGATCCCTTTACACGGGGAGTGTTCCTAAGTTCTCTTCTCCCTGTCCCAGGCCGACGTCGCCTGGCTCTCAGCAGTGTCTTAGCCGCCACGGCAGTGCTGCCGGGGAAGCCCTGCCAGCTGCTCCTGGCCGCATCCTCCAGGTCCCCGCTCACACCGGACCTTCTTCAGCAGTGGGGCAGCAGGCCCACATCCCCTCCCAGCCCGTGTGCTCCAAGCTGAGTGGTTGGCCCAGGACGGATGGACCCAAGTCCATCAGGGAGGCAGATGCACAGGCCCTGCCCAAGAGGGGGTGCTACACAAAAGGCAGGGCAAGGGGGCTCCACCAGGGACACTATTGTTTGGTGTCCTGTTGAGACCCCAGGATCACTGTTGGGGCATCTGGACCTGCACAGGGTGCTCTCAAGAACAGCAGCAGGTGGGTGGGGGAGGGGACACTAGAGGGAGAGAAAGTGAGTCTTAAGGGCCTGACAGAGGGCGCTAGGAGCCAGAGATCATACTGGAAAGATAGCTAGAGGTCAGCGGGTCTGGGCTGCAGAGAGTCCAGAGCTCCAGTAGAGAAGCCATGGGGCCTGGGCAAGGCAAGGACAGGCTGAAATCTCGCGGAGTCAGTGACCGTGCTGCCCATGACTGACTCTTCAACCGGCCCGACCGCTTGTCCTGTTCCATCTCCTCGTCCCCAGCAAATGCCCCTCGTGGTTCAGAATCAGCAAGTTGGGCGCTGCCCCGCACAGCCCCTGCAGGCCTGCTTCCCGACTGCCAAGCAACCGACAACCTTCAGGACCGCAGCCCTGAGAGCAGGGCAGTCGGCCATCCAGCCGCAGAGGCAGCCGCAGGGGCAGCAGGGACAGTGTGCTCAGCCTGCAGGAAGGGCTGGGTGTCAATGGGCACAACCAGCCATCTGGCCTCCTGGGTCTCACTGTCTGGCTGCCCTGCAGACACACCTAGTATTAGGAGGGGGCCCAGGGCAAAAAGGGTTCAGAAAGGTCTGCTTACTAATTATTTGTCAACTATGCCCTCACACATGCTTCTGCACACCTGCTGACCCAGACCCTCCACCCCGTGGCTCTGCCACACTTCCACACCCCACCTCCAGCATCTCTGACCCCAGGCCTGCGCTCAGCCCCCAGACCGCTCTGGTAACTCCCCTAATGTGCTGCTGTGAGGCTGAGCTCTGCAGAGTGCATTGTTATTTACCTTGTCTCAGGCTCCGGGGACCAGGACCCTGTGACCCGGCACTTACTCATGCATGGCAAATGGAAAATCCTTGGAAGACACTGGCCAGATAAGAAAAACTTGCAAACCTGGGTCACCTTGTTTCTAATGGCAGTATCAAGTGTGGCCTATCCCCAGTGGCCAAGGCTGGGAAAGATTAACCTAGGCCCACTGAGTCATGGGTGATGTAGGGATGGGATTCTGGTCAGAGCTTGTGCCAGGGAAGCTCATGGCTCACAACTAGAAAGACCAGAATGGGACAGGCAGAGGCTAAGGAATGGGTGGTGACTTTTCAGAACCACACAGACACAGCCTCTGGGTGGGTGGAGGAGGCAGAAGGAAGGGAGTGTGCCAAGACGCTTTAGCCAGCACCTTGCGGCCACCAACTCCGCCTGGCTGGTTAAGTCCAGCACAAACTTAGAAAAGTTCATACAACTTAAAATTCCAATCTAAAATATTAGGTATTAGAGCATAGTAAAGATTGTGCAATTATTTCACATTTTAAAATAGCCTTCAGTAAACATGTTTGAGATCAAATTGTAACTACTTTTAATGAATGACTGGAATCAGGCAGTTTGTCTCTGGTCCTGACCAAGTCACTCAGAGATGGTCCTCAGGACATCCCACAGCAAGCCCCATGAACATGGCCCAAAAGTGACTTCCACATGGTCCACACAGCCAGTTAAAGCTGAAGAACTGTAAGGTCTGAAAACTCAAGACTCTAAATTTGCAGACTAGAGTGACTGGAGTGACTGGTAAATGAAAGAAAGGGAAATGTTCTCAACCGGGAATGGATCCTAGAAGTCACGACCTTCAGCAGCATCTCCACTGTTTGGTTTTGGTGAGTGCCACAGTAAAGGACGACACCCTCCATATGCATAGGACTGATGGCTCCCCTCTGCTGCACCACCAGGCCATGTAGGGAGAGGCCTGGGGAAGACTTGTGGATATTAAGAATGACCCCAAGTGGGAAGGAGAGGCCTAGTGACCATCTGCTGCGGTCACACACACGGTGGGCTGTGTCAGGAGTCCCGAGTCCAGCAACCTGCCTGCTATTTGAGGGTACAACCAGAGACGGAGCTGCAGTCGCAGCCTCTCCCCAGCTCTCGTGCTCAATTTGTGAACTCCCATGTGTCCTGGAGCTGACGAGAACTGGGGCATGCTGGGAGTGCCAGTCCATGCCTAGCACACTCCCGCCCCAGTGCCTGCAGCTTGCTGGAGCAGGGTGGGCCCAACCTAAGGAAGTGTCCTTCCCAGAAGAGGAAAACGTGGACAGAAACAACAAAGCCCACAGCACCACCGAGACTGGGCTGTGGCGGCCACAAGCCAGGGAACACCAAGGACGGCTGGCGGAGGCGGGAAGGACCCTCACCCAGAGCCTTCAGGGGAGCGGGGCCTGCACTGCCAGTGTTCTTCTGCCCCCAGAATCATGGGAGGGTGCATTTCTTTTACGTTTGGCTCCCAGCAGAAACCAGTGGTTTTGGGGGGTCAGAGCACAGAAACAGTCTCTCCACTTGAGAGCTCA